TTGAATTTCCTTAGTTGCGCAGTGGTCAAAATAGGGCCCCGAGGGCGTCGTCGAGCCTGCCTTCACTTAGGGCGGCCGACTTGCTCCAAAAAGGGACCGAATGGGGCTCATAGAGGCAGTGGCCTCGCAATTTGTTTGAATTAATTGAATTTTTTTTCGACATTTCTTTTTCAAGTTTTAAAAATAATTTTAATTAATTATTTTTCTCGTATATTTGAAATTTATTTTTGATGTTTTTAAAATACATCATGATCAATTAATTCCTTTTTGCAATTCTTTTTCAAATTTTTGTTTATTATTATTATTTTTTTTTAATTTGTAAGTACTTTCCTTTTTTTCTTATTTAGACACCTCAATTGATTTCGATTAAATTCAATTAATGTATGACTGAATTAATCTCTTTATTTGGAATTGATCACCCTTTTTTCAAAAATTTTACATCTTCTTCTTGTAAAATTCTTGCAAAACACCTTTTTGAATATCACGAATTATGCTTAGAAAAATTCAATTACCTCATTGTTTTGTGACTAGAAGCCTCCAACCTCCCCCCCGGGCATGCCACGTCAAACCAAGAACTCTCAACGCGCCGTTGCTACCGCCACTGCAGCTTCCGCTACCTCATCACCACCTGCTTCTCCAACAACCGCCACCACCCCGACCGTTTCCTTCGCGATGGTCGCGAAATCTAGCATTAATATTTCCTCCATCAACACCCAGTCCGTTGATAGCCTTCGTCCGGACCTCATTGGTCAACAGGCTGCCACCCAAGCGACCCCCGTTGACTCTTCCGCCCTCCTCTCCCTCATGACTACCATGCAAGCCACCCTCGATTCCCTCCAAGCATCCCTCTCCGACCTTTCCCAACGGATAACCACCGTCGCACAACAACAGGCCTCCCCCGCGATCGAGATCATCACCACCACGTACCCCCCCACACTCGGGTTCCACCACCCTTCCCCTATCCCCTACCTCCACATCCACCGCCCTCTCTGCTAGCACGTCATCCACACCCCTGCCTTCATCCACCACTACCTCCACCACGGTCATCCCACCGCACAAGACAACAACCCCCGCCGTCACGCAGTCGTCGCCCGTTCCCCCCTAGTCAAAACTTCTCATGACTTCATCCACTATCATGTCCACCCTTCCCACCTATACCCAGATCACTTGCACACCACAAGCCCTTCTCCCCGTTCTTCCAATACTTCCTCTGTCCGCACTCCTCCCGACCAACCCCACCACCGATTTCACCCGGGTACTGTCCTCCTCACCCAAACTTGATTTCAACACCCTCGCCGCCACAACATCCTTAACGGAAAACATTCCCCATCCTTCTGGTCAATGGACATCCCCCCCTTCATCGACCTTCCCCACGAGGACATCTTTGTCTTCCTCAGCGAACTCTACGACACTTTCTCCCTCCACAACGTCCCTGTCACACACTGGCTCCCTATTGCCACACTTGTGGTCAATAAGTGGTTCATTTTCGACGAATTTTTCACTGAAACTGCCATATTTCCTTGAATTTTTGTTTTTTTTTTGTTTTGTAGCTTTAAGGTATATCTGTATTCAGTTTTGACATATTTGGACAAGTAACGAAAAAGTTGGCAAAAACACCGAATTCAGGAAACGTTTTGCCTGTTTTTTTTTTTTATGTTCGTATTATGAGCCTGCATAGTTTGTTTGCAAAAGTTTCGACGACATTGCTTGTAGTGATGCGGCGAAAAACCTCGAATTTTGGGCCTTCCATTACCCGCGTGTCTATTGCCAGCACCAGGTATTCAAGAGGGTGCCGCTTGTTGGTGGTACACCGAATGAGCTAACCGCCAACAAGCGGACGCAAAACCTTGACCACTCTCCGCCGTGCTGACCTCCATACCAACTCTGCGTACAGGAAGCCGAAGAAATGGAGCGCCAACTCAATGAACTCCTTGAAAAAGGATTCATTAAGCCCAGCTCCTCCCCCTTCGGTACAAGCTGCCTTTTTGTAAAGAAAGGCAGAACCTCATAACTAAGGATGTCCACAGACTACGAAGGCAAAACCTCAGAACTAAGGATGTCCACAGACTACCGCGCCTTGAATCGGATCACGATCAAGAACAAGTACCCCCAACCTCGAATCTCCGAGCTTCTTGATCGCCTCCGTGGAGTCAAAAATTTTACCTAGATTGACCCACAAGACCGCATTCCACTCTCACTTTGGGCACTACGAGTTCCTCGTGATGCCCTTCGGACTCACCAATGGCCCCAGCCACATTCCAATCCACCACGAATCACATCTTGTGCGACCTCCTCGAAGTCCGTGTCATCGTCGACCCTGATGATATCCTTGTCTATAGCCCCACCTTCGAGTCCCACCTTCAGCACCTTTGTCAGGTCCTCTCTATCCTCGGAGAGCAAAACTTCTACTCCAAGCTCATCAAATGCTCCTGTGCTGTCTCTAGCATGGACCCCTTGAAGGTCACCGTCCTTGTCGAATACCCCCGCCCAAGTCCCTATTGTTACGATCCTGACCAATTTCGAGATACACATCCATCAGATAGTACAATGCCATCCATTTGCAGAAAGAAATGAATGAACTTGAGAGGAGAGAGTCGATTAGAAGAAGAAGAAGAAGTAAGAAAGAAGAAGAAGATGTACACTAGCATAGACAGATGACAAGGCTCTTCTTCTTCGCCCAACAATGTCCTCCTCCTTATCTCCCCCTTTCTTATTCATACAAGAAATAATAATACAATGTTGATTGGCTGATCTAGAATCAATGTCCGAGTTCCCCTTCTACTGTCGGCATCACTTGAGGTCCACCATAGCCATGGTCGCCTCTTCCTCCCTTCATCATCATAGGCTGAGGCTATGGCGGACTACTAGGCCTTGCCAAATGCCCAAAGGACACCCCAAAGCAGCTATGGCTGCTCCAACTCAGGCCGCCATGCCCGACTCTGCCTCGAAGCTTCTTGGTGTAGCTCTCCCCAGTTGGGGACTCCCTGCTGCAACGCCCACCAAGGTGATGAAGATGGCCGCCACCATAGCCAGGTAAGTACCCCTGGCGCTCCTCCCCCTTCCTGTCCTTCTTCCTCCTTCATGTCCTTCTCCTTCCCCAGCAGCACTGCTCCGGATAGCGCCGCTCCAGTCGGCGCTCCAACCAGTGTGTCGCCAAACTTGCACACCGAGAATGAGGCCGGGCTCTTCGCCCGGCTGGGACATATAGCGGCCTGCTTGCCTCTTCGGGCGGTGACTTCCAAGCCGCTCGGCCTTCCAAGCAACCGACACCTCCTCCCTTTCGGAAGAAAACATCATTGCAGACTTTGATATTGCCCGTACAGGCCCTTGACCCAGACTGGTTGGACTGGTACCCGCCTAGTCCTAACCTACAACTACTGGGCCTCTAAAAATGCCACTTTTGTCTTCTTCTGCTCGGCCTCCAGTACCCGCACATCTACGTCTTCAAGGTGCGGTACCGACCTACCTGCTACTTGAGTGTTTTTTCCGCAGCCATCCCTCAATGTCACGGCCACAGATAAGTACCGGCCCTGGGCCCAACGAACGAGCAAGTGCCCTTGTCGGCCACACACGTACTCAAGCCAACCAACACTCAGACTTTTGTCAGTCCAGCAAGTGTGCACACACAGACTTAGTAGCAGGCGGGAAACTCAGCAAGGCATTCAGTTTATGGGCAAAACTCAGAAATCAGCCGTGTGTTTCAGTCCATGTTTGGACGGGTCATCACACTACTCTAACTATGCTCATTCCTCGGCCTTACCAACTATTACTGCCCCTTCATCCGCAACTTCTCCAACATCTCTTACCCACTCCACGAACTCACATGCAAGGACGAGCCCTCCAATTGGAATGACCGCCGCCAAAACGCTTTCGACTTACTCAAACAAACCATCACTACGACTCCCATCCTCAAGATCGTCTACCCCTCTCGACATTTCTAGGTTACCACTAACGCATGGAGTGCTCGTCTCGGAACAGTTTCTTCACGACACCTCTAAAACCCCCTCCATCAAAGACTCCCCCACCCACCCCGAGGCTCCACCCGACGAATACCCCATCGCCTTTGCAAGCAAGAAGCTCCTTTCCGCGGAGCTGAAGTACCCCTCCAACGAGAAGGAACTCCTCGCCGTGATTCACGCCCTCAAAGTCAGGCGCCAGTACCTCGACGGGCAATACTTCACCATTCGCACCACCATCGTCTCCACTATCCTCACTAAGAAAGACATCACGCCATGCCAAACCCGCTAGTTTGGTCGAGCACTACGATGCCAATACTGCGGGACACCTCAGGTTCCAGAAAACCTTTGACACCATCTCCCGCTACTTCTACTGGCGTTCCCTACTCGTCGACGTCAAAGCTTACATTGGCTCATGCTCCACATGTCAAGTCGTCAACCCTTCGAACCAGGCCAAACCCGACAAGTTACAGTCGTTGCCTATTCCCACTCACCGGTGGCAAGTCCATCTCTGTGGACTTCGTGTGCGGTCTTCCCAAGACTGACCACGGTCATCATTGCATCTATGTCATCGCCTGTCGCTTGATCAAACACGTGCACTTCATACCTTGCACTACTTCGCACAACGCCAAAGACGTCGCCACTCTCTTCCTTGATCATGTCGCACGCCATCACGGCCTCCTCGAGAATATCATCAGTGACCGTGATCCTTGCTTTCTCTTACAATTTTGGAAACACCTTTTCAACGCATATGGAACCATGCTCAAGTAGAGCAGTGCATTCCACCCCCAAGCTGATGGACAGACCGAGAAGATGAACGATACTCTCCAAAGAATCCTATGGAAGCATTGTCATCCACACCAACACGATTGGGATCAGGTGCCCACAGCCGCCGAGATTGCCTATAGCAACGCCGTCTACCCTTCCACTTGCATGTCCCGGTTCTACCTTAACCTTGGCTACCATCCTCGCTTGCCCTCCGACTTCTTGCTCCCTTCATAACTCAACCCCTCAACCCTTTGCCCTTCTCTCAATGAATGGGTAGCAACAATGAACAGACTCCTCAGAGAAGCTACTCGAAGCCCTTGAACGAACACAAGAACAACAAGCCAACAAGACTAACAAACACAAATGTGACGTGTCATTCAAAAAAGGGGCAAAGTCTAGTTCTCTGCCAAACGCTTTGAACTCGAACGTGGCTTGTCCAAGAAACTCTCGACCAAGTGGCTCAGACCCTTCCCCATCATTGAATAAACCTCCCCCGTCAAGTACAAACTCCAACTCCCCTTTACATGAGTCGTGTCCACCCTGTCTTCCACGTAGAATACCTAAAAGAATACCATGAATCCCCACCCCAATTCGCTGACCGCCCATATCCTAGACCTCCACCAATCATGCCCTGAATTTGTCGTTGAAGCCATCATAGGACGAAGAAGTACTCAGGTATCTGACCACCGTGTCCACCCTGTCTTCCACGTAGAATACCTAAAAGAATACCATGAATCCCCACCCCAGTTCGCTGACCGCCCATATCCTAGACCTCCACCAATCATGCCCTGAATTTGTCGTTGAAGCCATCATAGGACGAAGAAGTACTTAGGTATCTGACCACCGTGAACCAATCACAAAATACAAAGTTAAATGGACAAGATACCCGGACAAAGAATCCACATGGGAACCTCGTGCTAACCTTAAGAATGCCATGAAACTTGTTGGCGCCTATGATCACGCCCACCCTATATCCTAGCTACCCACTATGCCTAACCCCTACCTAAACCCCGCCTAAACTCTGCCTCCCTGCGCTACACACATCCCCTGTACCCAGCAAAAACCTTGCCCCTTAGCCTCCCCCTGTCTGATTCATTCTTGCCTCCGTCTCATCCTATTCTCCCATCTGTCCTCTGCCACATCTTTGTCCCTCTTGTCTAAGCCCTATATGTGGCCCCTGCGCGTCGTCGGCGATAAAGGATCTAATGGCAAGCGCACGAGGACGATGGCATGCTGCAGCTCAGTACGAGGAGATAAGACAACTGGTTGGCCACCATGTTGTTCCCTTTGGCCGGCACCTTTGACGCGCAGACTTTTGGAGCAGCCCCTTTGACATGGACATCAAGATCGGTCTGCGACCTTCTATC